TGTGTTCTGACTTCCACCCTGCAGCTATAAGTTAGCAAAGTTGAGCAGCGAAACTACTGGGTGCTCAGTGTGTTCAGACCTTAGACCAATGCGGTGCCACAAAGCAAGGGAAGTCTATAATCACATGGCCAGAAACAGGAAGTGGGGTTGGTTTTCCTCATTCTCCTGTACTTGCGCTGGATATTGGCAGCAGATGGTGAAACAAGCATTCCAGAACGCAGTGCCAGGATATTGAGTGGGTCAGTGGGACCCCTGGATTTGTCAGTTCTGCAGAAACCAGGACACTTGGGAGGAATGCTAGCCTGCCCCTATAACCAGCTCCTGTGGACTCATCTGGCCTGCCACCATTACCAACTCCTATCACCTCTCTTGGGCTGACACCATTACCAACTCTTGCCGTCTCTTACCAAGACTTCCCTGTCTGATAGCATCCGGAGAAAAACAAAGTTATGCTTTAAAGGAGAACAATGGGGTTAGGGCTTTTCCCCATAGGATCGGAGCGGGGAGGGGGGAATCCAGCCCCTCCCCTGTCACGGCGGAGAGCCGTGACAGGATCGAGAAGTGAGCGAACACCGGTATGTGTTTGCTCACTTCCCGATCTACTGACCCGACCTGTGAGTCTCATTGTCACAGGTCGGCTAGAACTATGAGGTGAGTGAAAAGCACTCACCTCATAGTTCTCCTTTTAATGTCTGCCTTTTTAACTACCCACAAAACTTCCAAGTGTATACGTTTCCTGCCTATGGAAATCTTAAAAGGTCAAAGAAAAAGACACAACAGACATTCAAATGAGTGAAAGGCAAGTCATTTTCAGTCTTTGACATCCTACGCAGTGGTGTAATTATGCTGTAACAAATAGCAGTTTTCACATAGCTGCTTCTCCTAAATGTCAACCAGCAGGTCACTTAACTAGTGGGTGAAAGCAGGCTTGTCCTTCGATACAATAAAAATTACGACATTTTTCTGAGTATACGCATGTAGAAAAACAACTCTAGCTAATTTGTACGTTTGTTGTGGTTTATCACAGAAACTTGAGGTTTTTGACAGGCACCAAACGGAAAAAAAAAACTTCATAGAAACAAACGGTGCTTCCCCTTATTCAAAAAGGAAAATGTTTTGTGCTAAATACAACAGAGGGGTTCTCCCTCATAAACTAGTTCATAGAATTCAATATTAATATCATTCAAGCGGCATTAGGTTATTCATTATTTTCTGTCTAACTTGGAAATATATGCAGACAAACACTGAAGTGAGGATAATATTAAATGCTAAATGTGTAACATTCAAATCATAAAATATATAGATACGATCCCTGTATTTTCTAAACAAATATACTTGTTGGAGTAATCCAAAGACATTAAATTATCAAGCAATGCTTCCTCAGCACTTTGTCCACTTTTCACAGTTTTAATACATTTTATTCATTTTTTTTCTTTTTATATATATATATTTATATTGATGTTTGACAGTTTGACACTGCCTATAGTGGGTACCATGCAGGGATATCTATCTTTCCTAATTCTCTCCTACTACCAAATCTCTCTCATTTTTTCCATCATATCATTGGTGCTCCACCACGTCATTATGCAATGCCCGTCAACGCGTATGTGATGTAAGGACGCAAATGATGCCATCACACGCTGCTAGCACTCTTTAATGATGTATCTGGCTTTACAGCCCTGAATTTGATTAGCGGCATAGCCCATTAGATAACTTTATTAGGCTAATGGGTTTTGTCTTCAAACATCAATTTAATCCATTTATTAATATTTATTTACTGCAAAATCAGGTCTCCTGCCCTGCCTATGTGGCAGAGCTATGGAAATCTCACGAGTGGATGTATAGATAAACAAATCCTTTGACATGTAAAACGGTTCCCATTTATGTATTTCATCTGTGTTTCTGGCTGTTTTCCTGGATTCCGCGTTAAACTATTCTCTTTTATATATGGTAAATATATAAATCTGGGGTAATATGGAGAAAAACAAAGGCAATGATACAACGCAATATGACTTCTAAAAATTTTATTATTAAATTGCGTGAATGAAAACAATTAAAAAAACAGGATTCCTTAATACAGTATTAATAATTCTACTTCTTTCTTTCATTAGTTTTGGATAGAGTAGAGAAGGGTTAAAAAACCTTCCTGCCAGTTTTTTGTTTTTTTCGCTGGCAGTGTCCCTTTGGTGAGATTTCCCTTTGCTTCCTGTTCTGGAGATGCAACAGAAAGTGAGAGGACTTTTCTCCAAGGAAGGAGAATTAGACAGGTGTTCCCACTGAAAGATTTCCCCATACCCCATGTTTTGCTGACTACTGTAAAATATTTTGCATCACTTTCTGCATCAGTGCAATGGTCACCAGGACAAACATAAATGGTGGATCTCCCGAGTGAGAAGACATATACCAATGGAAACCCGACAAGGGTTCTACTCCTTCCCTACTCTAATTGAAATATATTAAACAAATATTTTGGCTATACATACACTTTAAATACCAGCAAATAGCCTTCCTTCATAGCTTTCCCTTAAATTCCTTAACATATTATGAAAGCAAGCACAATTAAATCAGATTTACTGTGTGATTACCAGCACATATTTTTTATTAAGAACAGTAAATGTACAGCGCACAAAAGAGAATCAGTAAATACTCCATGTAATTATTTCAATCAGAAAATATTATTGCTGCCCCTAGATGGGTCACTTTTTCATCTGTCCTGACAAAGGATTAAGTGGTCTATTTTTTAAAGTTTTCACATAATTTTTACCCAGATTTATCCAATTGAATCTAAATGTTAGAATCTTAAGTGAAAGTTGTGGGAACCTTGTGTGAAATAAAAATGAACATTTCAAATAAACAAAATACCTGTTGCACAAAGGTAATCCAGGACACTGGACACTTAAAGCTACTTTCAGGCAGGCCGTCTGATCAGGTTCGCCTTTCAATTTTTCAGATGGATCTGATAGGAAGCCCAATGTTTATGTGCAGCCAGATCTAAAATCCATCCAGGTTCAGCAAACAAGTCAGAACAGAGTTCTGTTTTGGCAAATCCGATTGAGACAAATCTGATGTAAATGGACACATGTCCACTTGCATCCTAGTCCCCATAGACCAACATGGGTCCGGTCGTAAAATGGAGGAAAACACTGGACTGACACGGATCCCATGCTGATGGGAACTGACAGATCCTGTGTGAAAGGGGCCCGGTGTTGTCCAGTTAACCTAATATTGATAAACATTGTATTTCAGACTGTTGGTTGGCATGATGCAATGCTCTTTTTATTGCACTGGTGGTTTTCAAGTCAGTGTAAATCTGAATGGATGCAAAATCAGCTGAAAGGAAAAATCAATTCAAAGGCTACTATCAGACTTACTCAATAAAGCTGTGCAAAGGGAAAAGTGTGCTGTAACATTTATTAGACAGATTTTGGTTTACTGAGATTGATCTAGGTGGCCATGGGCTGGTTTGCTCTGCCCATTGCTCTTTGTGAAGGTCTGTGATTGTTGTTTTGTAAGGGTGTGAGAACTTCAGTGAGACCTTATAATTGTATTAGATCTATAAATGTAAAACCAGCACTAAGGCTCTTCCTAATGTCTATGGAAAGGTTTCCATAGACATTAGATTGCAATGTCTGATACCTATAATTGAGGCTGGACTGGCAACAATATTTGTACACTGTCCTATACTATGAGACCCCTACATTATAAATGTGGGAAAAGTTCACTTTCAGCAAGTTCATTCTATCAAGTCTCAATCACTTTCTATTAGCCATCACATTCCATAATGTATCTAACATTTATGCCTCTTTCAGAGTCTTCCATTACGGCAAGGTGTAGTAAAAAGGATGGCACCACAGTGCACAGTACAGTAGGTGCTGATAAACCTTCATGGTAGCACACATATTGTATGTTGTTTGCTCCCTTGTCGAGCATTGGAAGCCTTAGCGCAGCATATGTTAACTTCCATGGAATAATGCCCTACCTTTTATATGTCAGGTTTTCCAACTCATTAGGACCCCTGATTCAGACCCCTTTATTCAGCAAGGAAAAAGGGAACTTTATATCATAATTCTTGAAAGCAACAGCAGGATGTCCATTGTTTTATGGTCCTTCTATAGTGACATAATACAACTCATAAAATTACCAATAAACTAACAGAGAGCAAGCTATTGTAGTTTGAATATTGCAAGTCCTGTGTAGATAAGTATGAAGTGGCAATTAGTCTTTGAGAAAACTGATACTCAGTGGAGATTATTGATTAACTGAGGAATTTCTGTGCTCATGTGATATAATTCCCTGTTGCTTATAGTGGGAATAACCATACCAAGTGACTTTGGTAGATAGGAATTGCATGGAAGTCAGGAATTTTCACCCAGTTGTTTTTCACCTCTACAGAGATGGATGGAACAAACCGCACTCTAACCATTATTAAAATCATACACAGTAATGGGGAAGACACCTAACAGACTAAAGAAACTCATCCAAGGTCCTGATCATCAGTTGGCAAATAATCAAATTCACCCTTTAACTATTTAAATGATCTAAATTGGGGCTCAGTTATACATTGAAAAGCACTGTAATTTGTGATATACTCAAAGTACTTTATTTTTCTGAAAATAATTTTGCCACAGTTCTCTAAAACTATCACATACTGTATATTTGATTTTCAAACTTTCAAAAAAAGAAAAGTACCTTACATAGATTAGGATTCCTATTTTCCCTAAGGTAATATTTGTCTTGAAACAAACAAAATCAGTTTATAATGCTAAAACGTGTTGTCTTTTTTTGGCTAAATATACAGTACAAGCTGCATATTGTAGGTGTCCAACCTCTGAGACAGACCAGGACCCCACTATAAACTGACAATCTGTACCTCACTGGAAATTGTAAGAAATACATTTAGGGTTACAAACATTGGCAAATTAACAGTTAGCAGTTCCAAAATATATATATTAAAAAACGGTTAAGCACTTTTGAATTAGATCCTGGCACAGTAAATTTCTCGTAACATTAAGGTTTAAGTTCCTCTACTTGAAGCCAGAGCCCACCTTCAGCTCGTAGGATCAGTTCTGGCTTTCGGCGCACTGTCTTGGTTGGATCCAGGCTCACTTTGAAATTCAAAAGTGTGAGTGCCAGAACTACTTTCATCTCAGCCATGGCAAAGTTTTGTCCTATACAGTTCCTGTGAGGTGAAAAATCAATAAGTACTAAACCCATTGAAATGAAAAGCAAAATATCTGTTTCTGAATTTGTGTTGCTTCTTGCAGAAACATGACTTATCTGATCCTATAACTTTATTGAAGAGTTTGTTTTTCTTTTACCAGTTTTACAGTATACTCCATCAAAAACAATTGGGTGGTTTTTGCTCATTTAGCAAACTTTCAGATAATCAATATTTACAATTCTAATGCAAGTTTTTTTTTTCTAATTCAAAATATATCTAGTGTTGCCTTTTTTTAATACATTGTTATTAACAACTTTATTATATTACATTTGAGACTGTTCCCACTTACACACTTAAACTACCCCCGTCAGTGCAAACATATCTTCAACAATCTTCCAGAGTGCCCTGCACCCCCTGAAGCCTGGGTTCCTCTTTTCTGGAGAGCTTCACCAGACTTTATATCTGCTTTTTTGTGCTAAATGAATTGACTGCCAAAGCACCAGAATAGACAAAAACAAAATCTGACTTTTTTCCCGAAGCAGCGCACCACAATAAAATACTGTACCTTGTTTTGCGTTGCCTAAAAGTCCTTTTCCATGTTGTGAATATTTTTGTAGTAATGCTAAACTATGGTGAAATATTTTTTTGGCATTTGTATTTCTTTCTGGGGCAAATGCTGAGCACAATTGTGATGGCCTCCCATTTGTGAGCTCTCTATTATGTTATTATATTTCATACAAGACAATGGCACCTTTACATGATACCTTACAACATCACTGACAGCACATTGAGTGATGTCAATTAGACAATTACAACAATGTAAATATCTCCCTATCCTAACTCATTGTTACTTGTGAATACATTACTAGTAACAAGTGATTATATTTACAATTTTGTTAGCTGATCATATAATACACTGTGATCACAATCACAGATCAAGCTCGTCTTTACCTTGGCCCAGCAGAGAAAGGCACAAATGCATGTGAGGACCTCTCCTGTGCTTGTGCTGGATCAAAACGGTATGGATCATAGACCTAAGAAAACAAAGGTTAGCACTAAGATTTTGTGCAAGTGTTATTGTTTGCTAGTTTAGCATATGAGAGAAGATATGGTTTGTACCTCAGGGTTTGGCCATACAGCAGGATTGTGATGGGTTCCATATATACTTATGAGACAGATATTTCCTAAGAAAACAAAGAAAATATTTCAAATATTAGTTTCAGATGGAAATCTTTATACCCATCAGGGCTTGCATACATGGGAAAAGACAGCACATGTATTCATCTTGCATTTGAGAATAGTTTGAGATACTTCTGAGATCCGTCTGACCTCCTTATAACCTGCATCCAGCTGCTTTATCATTCAGACTGACTTATATGCAAAGAAAAGCAGTTCTGATGCCAACCAATGGATGTTTACAGAAGCCCTTACACAGTTGCTGTGAAGGCATTATAGCTACGTAAGAAGGCAACATAAAAGTTGTGTTTACATCCTTGGTCAATACAAAATGGTTTATTATTCCTACTAAGGAGAGAAGAGTACTACCATATATATAAGTCGACATAAAAAGTGATTTCTAGGTATGCCAGTATATGTTTATGTGAATACTGCCCTGCCTGCATCTTTCCCTTTTTTGCTAGTTTTTAAAAATCTCTGAGCCGCTGCTAAATTAGTTTTTTTTGGATTAGGTGGAGACACACACTTAAAGTCTTCAGATACCTTGTTAAGACAATGTCTGGGCTTCTGTTGTGTAGATGTGCCTTTTTAGGAGGATGGGACTGCCTCCAGGTGAGCCTGCTCTCTGTTTGCGCAATGCTATATACAGAGGTGTGCAAAAGTCTTGCAACACCTATCCCTACATAGAATTCTACATCTTTGAGCTGGGAAACTCAGATAGTGTTGGGTTAGGGACCACACTTATTAGAGGTGCAGATATCTGAAGATGTATGTAACTAAAACCTCTGATTTTAACCTAAGTAGTTAAACAGATTAGCTTGTTTTTGTTGCTGGATAACTTGAAAGTCTGCTGGGGACCTTTTTTGTTTAGCCAAACCTATTACAGATTGGACCATTCATCTGAAGCCCAAGTCAGGTCTACACACCAAAGTTATTATGTAGAAGAACACTAAAACTTGCATAGGGAATGAGAGAGTACCTTTAGGAATGACTTTCCCATCCGGAAGAGTGATATCCTCAGTACACCTTCTGGACACTGCTGTTACAGGAGGGTGTAGTCTAAGGCTTTCCTTGATACACATTGTGTTAAATGGCAGCAGAGACAGGTCATCCCTAAACAAGTGATAAAAAAAACATTAAATTAAAAATGTCATAAAAATAATAAAATAGTTCATGTTTTTACTTTTCAGAGAGCTGGTATGCCTAATACATTCCAAGGCACACCCTTATACATGTACGTATCATGTTTTTGATGACTGGAAAAAGCTACATAGACTAAGATCATCTTCAAGCAATCACTGTTTTATAACACCCTGATAGCATTTTGAATGCCAACAATTAAACTTGATCAGTGGCTAATGAGTTACAATTGTACATATACAATTGTATAAGCTAGACAGTGCTTTAGAAAACTACCTGTGATCTAGTCAGGGTTTAGATATACATTAACAAGGATGAAAAAAGATATATGTTCATAAAGTTTAACCGTTCACAGCACCAGCAGCTTTCACCCAGAAAAAGGCAAGCTGCTTTTGCCATATTATGTTTTAATACCTAATTCCATTATTTTGATTTCCCAAGAATGAAATATTTATTTTTTTGCATTTGTTTTCATACATATGGCACCAATTACAATACATTACCAAACAACAATACAGACTTTTATAAGGATCCCTCTTTCTCATTTTAGTTCATCTTGATAACATATGCAACATCTATCTCAATACCTTATTTACACATTCACTTATACAGTCAAATTATTATGAGAAGTTGGTGCTGTTACGTGGTAATGAGTTCACACGCCCTATATATTTATTGTTTCAACACATTTTTATTGAAGTATTCATGTTTACCCAACAAAAAACTGAACAGTATAGACAAGCTTTGACAGGAGGAAAGCACAATTCAAACACAGGGGTAGTTTCTGGTATTCAGTGTCTAATACAAGTCAATATATTCAAATTTATGTTTTAGCAGTTTTATTTCATTTTAATAAAGGACAAATTCTGTTTATGGAACCCTAAACAGTGCCTGCTGCTCTGTGGTTAGAATCCTTGACTATAGTTGTTTGCATATCACTTAACTTGACTATTGAAAGGGTCAGAATTAGCCATCCACTAAAATAATGTAAGGAACAGCACTCTATTCTTGAAACAGAATGCACTTTCATTACAATTCCAAAACCTAAGAGTTTATTCTCTTAAAGTCTAAGGTCACAGAAACAGATACCCAGATATGCATTGTACTAACAATCTCCATTTCCACAGTCTTAACTTCACTTTCCTCTTGCAGCAGTTGTGCAGTATGCCTGAACATGATTGTGCTGTACAATAGGCACCAGAGTTAGACAAAATGGTCTCAATAACTAGCATTTGATAAGAGACTTGGCCTGACACCCCCTTTCTTGCTCTGTAATACAGGTCTGTGGGAGGACACAGAGTGATATGGTTGTTACTCATGTATACCAGCAAAAAGTACTTGAGAAAGAAGGTAGAAGGTAAATACTGAGAGATAAAGGTATTTTTTTTAGGTATTTCCAAGCAAAAATCAGTCACATGTGTGGGTACAGGACTATAAAGAGATAAAAAAGTGAGACTTTAATTTGGCTTTTATGATAGGATAGTGAGTTATGCTTATTATTTCTTTGTGAACCATTGACCAACTGTGCATCTAGGACAGCTGATTTATAGTACAGATGCAGCCCAAACCACACAAAAACATGTATACAATGTAGCTTTAGGCCTGTATGCCTTGTTTAGGCAAGATTCACTTCTTTGAAGATAGACTTGGGTAAAAAGAATGCAATGAGACAGGTTGCGAGAGTGCAATATTCTTGTCACTCCAATCACTATAAATAAATAGTGACTGGAGTAAAGAGTTCAATGGGAGGAGTTCGCCTATGTAACAGGATAATTAGGATTACCTAGAAAGGGTTATATTAAGTTAGACTCATTACTACAAACTATATGTGTAAACATAGCAGAATACAGATGGTTTTTAAGATTTGATGAAACTTAAACAAGATGACAGGAGGCCAATAAAGGAAAATATAGTTTTGTACATATTTTCTTTTTAAAGTCAGTGCTAAAATAATTTATTAAATACTTCATATTATGCAATGTTCTATCTAGCCAGTAGGTGGATCTCTAGTTTATTGTTCACATGGAAGGCATTCTATCTTTTTCAGATAAATTAGGGCAATGGCTCATCCCTTTATAGATATGTACTCCAAGGTCTCCATTACACAAAAGGTGTAAGAGTAAGCTAGTTTTTTTGTGCGGTCTCTTTAGGTAACACACTGGGCTCTGGGAATCTTTGGTCACACATTAAAAACAAAAGATTGTATATGCATAGTATTTACAAATAAAACTACAGATTATAAATCTATACATGACTTATTTCCTGTGAGATCAGGTACTCACCATTCCAAGTGGGTTGTGTCTTTCCCTTTAATTAATTCTTTGATCTCCTCTCTACATTTGTCTTGATATTCAGGGTGACGAGCCAAGTTATACATGATCCAGGACAGTCCACTGGCTGTGGTATCATGTCCTGATTAGTAGGAAAAACACAAAAAACATGAAGCAAATTTACTGTTTAAGTAGGCTCTAATAAAACCTTCAGTGTAATAAGACAGTCATATAGAGAGGCAGTGCGTATTGTGTTTTACATGCGCTAACCTTCATCCTTATGGAAGGTGCATGTTGATCGAAACTGCACCAACGATGCAACATGCAGAATTTTTACTTTTAATTGCACGAAAACACAGAAGTGTATAATGTTCCCAAACATTTTCAGACTGTCTACACTGCCACATAGTAGAGATTTCCCTTTTATAGTATGGGAAGATAAAGGAACCTAATTGTTTGAAATTTGGTATTTAAAACAATTTAATTCCATTTTGTAAAGCGCTGGGCAAATTGTTGGCGCTATATAAATCCTGTATAATAATAATATATTTAGTATAAGGTTTGGATTTTTGTAAAGATTTAAATATAGTTGAGATAATAAAGCTGTCAGTTTCATAACAAATTAGATTTGTTTATTTGCTAATAATTTACGAGGACATTGTTAGCCAACAGTATCTCTTATTCACAGTAACTCCCACAATATGGATATATTTTTCTAACAAACATGACATGAAGATGAACATATTTTCTATTGAGTTATTAGGTTATTATTGCTAATACCTTTTTTAGTATATTAAAGCTTTGGCCTTGTGCACTGGTTGCGGCTGAACAAACTTTAATCATGCACTCTAGTTAAAGATGTATATTTACAAAAATATTTTATGCAGGCTGCCGCATAAAAAACGAAATACACAATTTGCATTCTGTTACCTTCGAACATAAAGGTGTCAACCTCATCCCTCATCTCTTCATCAGAGAGCTGTCTTCCGTTGTCATCCTATAGTAAAAAAAACAAATTAAAAGCAGAAGTTCCATATACTACTCCCTACTGGCTTTATTACAGGAGCTCAAAAGAAAATGTATATGGTCAATAAAAAAGGATAAAGAAAACATGTTATAAAAAATATTTACTGCTCAAGAGGCAAAGAAACATTTTCATCAGTACATA